ACAGAGTGGGCACAAGTTTTGATACTGTCTGGTCACCCACCCACCATTATCACTCTCCTCTTAATTATGGAGCTATTTTTGGAAGTTGGAGGCACTCACTTATGCTTCACAGCCTCCTTCTGCCTGTTGGCCCAGTGGCCCTGCTTCCTGACAGCTGGCTGTGCTATCACTGACCCCGAAAGCCCTGACAGCCTCAGCTTACCATGCCCAGGGTGGTGTGGATCAAGAGAAGCACACAGAAGGGGCTCAATAGGCAGAATGTGGATAGGGTGAAGCTCTCCAGTCCTTAGGAGTGATGTGCAGTCGCTCAGGGGCATCCTTGGGACTCTCTCCTCTGCTTGTCCAAGGACCCTCATTAGCCCACATTGCTGGCAGCATCTCATGTCAGTACCCTGGCTTCTCAGACCCTGCTGAGCCACCTTCTCTAGTTCTCCAGGTGTCCCCGAGCCTCCTCGCCTTTGTTCCTGTTTCTTCCTCAGCCAGGACACCTACCTTGATCGCCTCTACCTGTGCCCACTGACTGGTCTTCATTGGCTCCCACTGGTCCTTCTGTCTGTGATTTAAATAATAACCCTGGAGAGATCTTCTTAGATACTCTGGGCCTGGGTTGGTTGCCCCCTTGGTCCTCCCGGCTGGCCAATCTCTATGGACTTCATATGTTAGCAGGGTAATATGTTCATATTACCTCTTCACTGTCCGTCTTCCTGGGGTGTTAGGGCCAGGGCTGGGAGTCTTTAGCTGACTTTGTAGAATGAGTGAGTGTTCTGATTCCTGTGTGTTTTCCTTCCATGAGCAGAGATTCCTGGGAACTGGTGGGGAGGGGAAGAGCAGGGTTATCCACAGGCCCCCGGGCTGCCCAAACTCTCTCAACTTGGCCTCTTTCCTGTGTTTCCACATAGATCTGCCTGGGAGGTCTGGGTTCTGCCCCAAGTCCAGGTCCTTTCAGAGAAAGAATGGGGCCGAAAGAAACATGGGAGGATGGGAGGGGTGGCTGATGTCCTGTTTACTTGAAATTTGGCTGCTAGAATTCTGATGACATAGGAAGAGGGTGACCCAGGAAGAGCAATTTCAGGTGGTTTCGGGCTTGTTGGTGGAGCATCTGAACTTTCTGCAGGTTATGGTGGTATGACAGAAGGCTCTAGAACCCAATGGAAGCCACATAGGTGGTGGGAGTGGGAGGGCCATGTAACCAAGGGCAACTCTCTGTCATTTTGCAGGGGTGAGGTCTGAAACAGTGCCTCATTGTGGCTGTCATGTGACATTGCCAGCTTCAAACAGTGTTTGAAGGACTGTGTTTGAAGGACTTCCAGTACAGAGGACTGGAAGGGCCAGGGCTGTCAGACTGGTTTTTCTGAGATCTGCATCAATTTGAGATCATCAGAAGGGGAGGGGCTGCCAGCACACACACCATACAAGTCAAATTAGCCTTGTCAGAGCCTGTGCTCTGCTCTCTGACTACCAAGGTCAGAGAGGTGCAGGACTAAGGGCAGAGATGAAGGAGTGGTATTTGATGAGTCCTTTTTTGTCATCAGGCTCTGTGTCCTTATTTTCTCAGGACCAAGCAGTGGTGAGAAGCCCACCTGGACTATGACTTTGACTTTGCATGTGCAGTCCATTTCTGAGCCTTTCTTGTTTGCTGCGAGTGCCAGCTGGCACCAGGCTCCGGGCCCCTGAGGACTCACAGCCCCCCGGGGAAGATGGAGGTGTTTGCAATGGCTGTTTGCAGTCTCAGAGACACATGAGAAATGCTATTACTTGATTTGTCTCTGTGAGTGAACCTGACTTGGCCACTAAGCCCCTGTATCACTCTTTATTACAAACTTGATCTTATCACTTCAAACCACTTCTGGTTTAATGTTCCAGTACCTTTGGGTGACTGTTTAGTGAGTTCAGAAATCTCCGTTCTACCTTTCGCCTGCATCTCTTAGGAGAACAGTCTGGACTCCAAGGGTCTCATGGTCTTCCCAGCCCTGAGGGGAAATAGTTCACCTTGTGTTATTGGTGCCCTCCATACTACAGAGCAGCCCACAGACCAGCAAACAGTGCGAGGGGAGACGAATGACAATGTAGCAGAGGTGATTTGGGAAGTGGCTTTTGTACTAAGTCTAGAAAGATGAGCAAAGTCTCTCCACAGGTTTTTAAGAAAGGCAATGCACCAGAGACAGTAGCATGTTTAAAGGCCCAGAGGTGTACAGGCTGCATTGATTGCATATCCTCATCAGTGTGCTCATTGTGGCCAGCGTTCTCCACTCCCATTCCCGCCTGGCTGACCTGATTGTCAATGTGGCATTTTCTCACTGAGGTAACTGAAAAGTCCAGGGAGAGGATGACAGAATCCAGCTTCAGGTGTTGCTGGGTTCAGGGACTCAAAAACTGTTGTTGGAGCTTGGTCTCATCTCCATCCTTTTCTGCAGGGACTTCTGTCTCAGCAAGTTCTTTCCATTACCTGGGCAGCCTCAGGCCTCTCTTAGCCCCAGTTACCAGTTCCAGAAGACATCCCTGTATCTCAATATTTTCTCCAAAAGTCCCAGAGTTGAACCTTACTGACCAGAATTGGGTCACCTGCCCCAGCCCTTGACCAATCACTGTTGACAGAAAGAAGAAACATGCTAATTGATCTGTTTGAATATCCATCCATTCTGGAGTGAGCCCCCTGGCAACTACACAGAGGTGATTGCCAGATGAAAACGAAGGGCACCTCTACCAGACAAATGGTCAGGGTTGATGGACAGACCATCAGCAAATACGCATGCTAACATCCCTACCCAGACTCCCTCCAGCTCTTGGGAAACTTCCTCCAGCAGGAAGTAGTGACATCACCTGTGACACCTGAAATTTCTCCTCAGTGCAAACCTTGACTCTTCTGTCACCCTGTGAGCTCCTCCATAGGAGACATGGGTCTTGAGTTGCTCTTGGACCTCCTCTGGGCACCAGTGCTCTCCAGAGCATCCTCCAGGTACCTTCTTTCTGAGTGGATTCTGTGAAGAAAGGATGCCATTTGACACCCTTTCTCTAGCTGGGGATGTTGGAATTTATGAGATCTAAAGTTAGGAGCTATCCCTCAATGTTTAAGTTCCAAAATGAACATGGCCAGGCACCAATTGGCAAACTCTGAGGGTAGCCGCTCCCTATTTTTAGTTCAGATACTTATAGAATGACATCTGAGTGCTCACCCACCCACTCGCCCACAACTGGGAGTTACACAGCCTGATTCTGCCCAAATAAGGGTGGTGGAGAGTGTCAGTCCCCCCAGCGAGGGTGGATCCAACAGGTGGACAATGCAGAAAGGCCTGGATGCCAGGGATGGGCTCTTAGAGGGTCAGATTCCAACTGAGATGGGCAAATCCAAGTCCGCGCTTTGCCCTCGGTGCTCTTGAAGAAGCCCTGCCTCTTCCTGTGGACACAGCACCATGGCTGCTTCTCACATTCCTAGGGGCTGTGAGCATTCTCTCTTTCCTCTCTCTTCTCTCCTATCCTCCTGTCTCCTCTCCTCTCTCTCTCTTTCTCTCTTTTTCTCTCTTTCTCTGTTCAAACCTAAGGTTTCATGAATGCTAGGCAAGTGCTCTGCTACTGAGCTCCACTCCAACTTAGGGGACAATTAGGGACTTTTGCAGGAGGTTCTTTGCTGTGAGGAGGCCACTTGCAGAGCAGGTTGGAGGTTGGAGGGATTGTGGAGAGGGCCTGGAACATGTCCAAATGCATGAAATAGAGACTCCAGGATCTAAAGTCCACGGAGTGCCTTTAAGCACGGTGGGAAATGCATTCCTGTGTTCAAGGCCCACCACACCACATGGTGGCTATGCAGACAGGGAGTGTGAGCAGGGATTGCAGGGAGCTACTGAATTGCAGCAGCAGGGGCAAGTCAGGCTCAGTGTGGACAGTCCCACAGAAAGGTGTCAGGCTCATGGGTTTCTGGCCACAGGTAGATGTGGCCGGCACCATACCTATGACTGTCTCAGTGAGTCCACTAGTCAGAGTGTCCCAGGACCACCAGGGATAATAGCCTTGGTATAGTCAGCAGGGATCAGCCCCCTGGGTGTGAGAGCCAGTGATCCTCTGAGTGCTAAGCTCTCTCCTCTTGCGTGAGCATCCTGAAAATTCCTGCAGAGAGCGTGCAGTGAGGTTCTTGCTGGCTTTGCTTCCTCCTGGGCTCACAAGGAGTGGGTGAAGCAGAGCACTCTGGAGTATGGCTGTGCTTGCAAAGGTGTTCCTCCAGGACCATCCGTCTTCCAGCTACTTTGCAGAGCTGGAGGAAATCAGCTCTGCAGCTTGCAGGGGGTCTACAGCCCAGGAGAACAGCCCCCCCGCCCCAGTCTGTAACCCTGGCAGGAGGTGGGGTGGGGCTGTGATGGATCCTTACGCAGGTGCTCTTTAGAGCACGGGTCAGAGTCTGAGTGCAGGCAGAGGGCTTGCATTTGAGGGATTTCCCTCCCTGAGGAGGGGAAAGGCTGCCTCCGAGTGGCCATGGAGCTGGCTAGCAGGAATTACTGGTACACTGCCTGCTGGTGCATAGTGTGATCCACAGCCCAGGGTTTTCTCCGCACACTGATTCACTCAGTCCCAAAGGGAAAGGCGCCCCAAGCCTGATAGGCCAGGGGAAGCCTTGGGGGTTGGAGGGGACACAGGATGGAGTATGGAGCATGGGGTCAAAGGTGAGCTGAGCTGAGCCCCACCCAGGGAGCCCTGTTCAGGACAACGTGTTTGGTGATGAGACTGATGAGGAAGACTGTTATGGGGAACAAGACCTGATTGCTGTCGAGGAGGCCAGGGCAGAGCTGGGGCTTTTTGACATGAAGGATTTCCTTTTCTTTCATTCTCCTCTTTGGGCACCAATGAGCCGAGTTATCCATGTCACCCTGTATGTGGGTCCTATGTATGTGTCTACATGTGTTCCTCTGTGTCTCTATCCTTATTTCTTTCTCTGGCCAGGCTTCATTTCAAGCCGGTACAGTGTTCATGTCACATGCTGTACCTTGAGAGCCACAGTCACCAGAGGAAGATCCTGGAAGCACGATGACAAAGTGTGAGGGGCAAGGCCAGCCTGCCCCTTATGGACTGGCCCCACTGGAGGATGCCTGGACCTTACCACAGAGAGAGGCAGAGGTATTGGCAAAGGGTGTAGTTCAAGGTGAGAATGTAGCACACAGGGCTCTGAGGTTAGCATGTCAGCCGGAATCCTCCTTCCATCCACAGCCACTTCGTTAAGTACAAGGTTTTGCCCTGTGTCCTGGAGGGTTTCAACTTGGTTAGGGCAGCAAGATCAGTTTAAAGAAATGACAAGAAACAATGTAATGAAGCTGCATTGGGGATTCTGGGGATTCAAGAAAAATCAAGGTCATTGTGGTAGTGATGGTGTGTATGCACGTGGATAAGCTTGCCTTCTGTAGGAACAAGAAGTCAGCAAGTTTCCAAAAGGACCTGTGATCAGAGCAAGGCTACGAAGTTTTGCCTCAGAATTCCCAGCTTTATTCACCCATTAAGTAGATCACCAGAAAACCCCCAAACTCCATTACAGTGATCGCTCTCCCCACCAAACACGGAGAGCAAAGTTGTTCTCTGTAGAGTCCCCCACTAGCATTCACACTGAGTGTCACTGAGGGTGGTCAGCAGACACTGTTGTATAGAGGTTTTGCCATTTGAGTGAGCAAGGGCCTCTGTGCCCTTCATTGATGAGTAGGTCAGGGCTTTGAGGGTAGATTTCTTGCCACTCAGCTGGGAAGAACAGGTTTTCCCAACCACATCTCCTGCTTCCTTTCAGGGGAACCAGGGCTATGGTGCCTTGACCTGGGAGCCGAACATGAAAACGAGGCTTGGGTCTCACCCTTTGCCACTTTCTTACTGTGTCTAATTCATAAATTAAACTTTGTCATAGCTGCGTATGGACAGGAAAAGCATGATCTATATAGAGGTTTGGACCATCTGTGGTTTCAGGCATCCACTGGGGGTGTTAGAGTATATTCCCTGCAGACAAAGGCAAGGATTGTATCAGATTTTTAGCTGCTTTGAAAAGAGCAAGGGCGTCCTGCACTCCCAGGGCAGTCCTGCCTCTTTCAACTTCTCTTGGTCTTTGGGTACATTATTAAAACCTCGAAGCCTCTGGGTCCTCGTTCATCAAATGGCGATGCTCGCAGTGTCTATCTCACAGAGCTGCTGCTGCTGTGAGCATTAAATGTATGTCTCAAAATAAGTGACCGACCAACGCGTGCCTTCTTCAACAAAGCCCATGGATGGTCTTTTTAGCCCGTCTGAGGGGCCACAGCAGTCCTCCTGTCTCCTGTCAAGCATTTAAGTCCTGGCTAGAGCTGTGAGGCACCCTGCAGCATGCTTTCCCATCATCCTTCATTCATTCAGCAGACATCTGTCAATCCCTCCTATGTATCAAATTCTGTGACAAATGCCAGTAACTGTACTGGGTAGTCAGTGGGTTAGCAGTCAGAAGCTCCTAGGACGGTGCCTGGCATGCAGTTGTATAAACACAGTGACAGCAGAGCACCCAGCAGTGGCAGCTAGCCCAGGTGTGGGGGTCAGAGAGGAAGTGACACAGAACCAGGGGGTAGGTAAGGGGAAGGATGGGACCACCACGCATTGGGAGTGGCCCGGAGGCAGGAGGAGTGTGGGGAACTGGAAATAGTGCCATCTGCTGGACTAAAAGGGACCATGGGAGCCACAGAGGAACCTAGAGGTTGGCTAGGGTCTGTGTGTGGGTCTTAGAAACTGTGCTGAAGAGTCACTTTCTGAGCTCAGCAGGGCCTTGCTCCTGCTCTGGGTTTTGAAGAGGGCTTCCACATCTCCCAAGCCCCCAAGACTGTGGCAACCAGAAGCCCACTGAGCTTCTGAAGTGGTAGCCAAGTGGGAGTGGGTAACTGGGGACAGAGGTTTGGCCTGTGACCCCTTGACCCAATATCTCCACTCTACTCCAGTGTAGCTTTGGTGTGTAACCAGGCTTTGGGTTTTCTTTCTTTGTAGATGCTCGAGCTCAGGTGTTGGCAACAGGCAAATCTGCTGAAGCAGAGATTGGTAAGTGGCTACTCAGCTTATCCTGTTTGCAGACTTGAGGAGCAGGAAGGAGATGCCCCAAAAAGACACAGGACCATGGGTGGGTGTTGGCAGTTTCCTTCTGGTCAGCACATAGAACTAGGGTCACACCCACCTGCAGGCCACCTGAGTGGCTATCACTTCCTTGTCCTGGGGGCAAGGTCCTGCAGTAGAGCCTGTCCTTAAAGGGGACATGAAGCATCGAGGCCACCTTTGTCTGCTCTCTGAGCTTGATGGACAGCTCCAGCATCCATAGTGCCCCCACTGCAGCCTATGGCTAGCCCCTGCCTCTGTCCTGTTTCCCAGTCCTTGCCAGTGCGCCCTGCCACCAGCATGGTGCAAGCTCCTCTCCACCCAGGACTTGCCTCACTGGCAAGGTATGATCTACATTCACCTCCTCTGAGAAGGCTCTCCACTCCCAGAAACCCATGACTAGTGCTGTCAGATGACGTTAGAGAGAGCTCTTTGCTGTCCTACCCAGCTGACTCCAGCCTCCTTGAGCCTTCCTCATTTGCCCTCAGGGTCACCAAGCAGCAGGCAATTAAAACATACTCCATGAATGAGTCAATGAATTAATAAAGGGGTAAAAGAGATAGGGCTACAGGAGGCCAGAGCAGTGAGCCACCCATCACCAGAGCTGAGCCTGGATGACCTCGAAAGATAGGAATGGTTTCCACAGCTGGAGGGGCAGGGATGCTGTTCCAGGACAAGGGAAGGGCAGGAGAGTGGAGTATGAGGCTGGCCACAGCAGGTGGAGTATGGAAAGTTAAGGTCCTGGCTCACAGTGTTGGACTTGATCTAAAACCATAGGAGGTCCTGGCAGGATGGTGACTGAATCTTGTGTTCACTTCCTCCACATGCTTCAGATTTTAAATATGCCCTCATTGGGACTGCTTTGGGTGTTGCCATCTCTGCTGGCTTCCTAGCCCTGAAGATCTGCATTATCAGGAAGCACTTGTCTGAAAATGACTCTTCAGACCTGAGGAGCTCACGTCAGGGTGGCAGTGGTAAGAGACCCATGACAGTTAGATTTCATAGACCCTATTCTGCCTGTTCTGAGAAAGGACAGTGTGTTAATTAGCTTTTGCCAACTGTGACAAAATGCCTGAGGTAATTGACTTAAAAAGAGGAAAGGTTTATTTTTAGCTTACAGTTTTGGAAGTTTCAGTCCATGATTGATTGACCTTGTTGCTTTGGGGCCTGTGGTAGCAAAATATGTCACAGCAGGAGCATGTGGTGGGGAAAGTCACTCATTTTATAGCCAGGATGTGAAAGAGAGGAAGAGACTGGAGTTCCATAGTCCTCCTTAAGGGCAATGGCCCCATGACCTAAGATATGTCACGGGGTCTCATCCTTAAATGTTCCACCACCTCACAACAGCACCATGGGCTGAGGACCCAACCTTTAACACATGGGTTGGGAGACCCTTCAGATAGATCCAAACTAGAGCAGATAGGGTCCTACCAAGCCACCCAGCATGGACACTGAGGGCCACTCCATAACAGAGACCTGAGAGAGGATATCAACCACAAGCACAGAGCCCAGCAGACTCCAGGAAGACAAGAAATACAGTGGCCTCTGTCTCTGCCTGTCTCTCTCTCTCTGTCTTTCTGTCTGTGCACCTTTCCCTGTCTGTGTCTCTTCTCTGTGTCTTGCTATCTCTGTCTCCGATTCTCTCTCTTTGTGCTTTTCCATTCTTGATATTCCTGGGAACCAGATTTCCTAGAGAAAGGTGGGAAGCAGATCTGAAATTAGCTCCAGACAGGAATTTCTGTTCTCTTAGTCCAGTGATGTGAGCAGATACAATCAGTCCCCAGGGCCCTCAGGTGGCCCTGAGTGTGGGTGGATGAGTACAGGTAGTGCAACCAGTGCTTTGGTGTGGTCAAACTGGGCAAGTCCTACTCAGGGCAGTGTGTAGTGGTCCTTCATGATCCAAATGTTGCTGGGCTTGTAAGAACCACAGCATGGCCATTTATATCCTTTAGCACCAGCCAAGAAGGAAGGGCCTCTCTGACAGAAGCTGAGTATGAGTTGCAGTAGCAAAATACACTGTAGATTTGCACTGTTCTCTCCCAAAGTGTCACCCCCACAAAACACCTTCTGTTGTATTAGACTTTTTGTGTGTGTCATGGTGGGGAGGAAACCCAGAGTGGAGCATACTAGACAAAGCATCTGCCACTGAGCCACATCTGCAGCTCCATGTTAGACTCTTAATGCAATGATAGCACAGTGCTGTGAAGTGTCTTTCAGTAGGAGGAGGAAGGAGCCTCACTTTGTGGAAAGGAGAGGGGTGGTCGGGGCCAGGAGAGGAAGGGTGAAGCATTGGCAGTTCCTGAGATTACATGTGGGGCTTCCTTGATCTCGGGAGTTGGCTTATTCTTGACTTGCTATCCCTACAACGGGAGAGGAAACAGCTTTTCATCACCCCGGCAGTCTGACCCAAGGTCTCTGGAGGACTATCTGAAAATGAGGGAAACCCAGAGTTGCAAATAGAGGGGAGGCTGCAAGTTGGGGAGGAAGGTCCAGAAATCCCTCAGTCCCACCTATATGCCAGCTAAAGGGGTCAGGCACAGGACCTGAGACAGAAGCTCCAACAGTGCCACAGGCAGGGCCATGACACTCACTATAGTACACATCTCAGGGAGCCGGCTTTGACTCCTGCAGCTGCAGCTGGGTCACTCTGAGTGCACAGTGGCCACAGAACCACCTTTCTAATGGCCTGCTTTCTCTGTTCAGATACCCTTGTGCAAAAGAAGAGAGCCACAAGGTAAGACTCCCTTTGGATGTGGTCAGCAAGGGATGGTGTCCCTCCTATCTCAGCCATTCTCCTTCACTGCCACCCTAGCTCCCTCTTGGAACTGGAGTGCACTCTGTCCTCCTTCTCCAGCTCCCCTTCTATGCACCAGTGGGCAGGTGTCATGAGAGAGGGGGCAACAAAGTGCAGTAGCCAAAAGGGGCTTGAACTTGTTGCTGAACACCCTGAGTTAGATTTTGCCCCATCCCCTTCTCAGGAACCCCTGGTGCATCCCCCACACTCAGAGTCACGTCTGTGGCCCTGGTCATGGTTGACTTTGGAGGATGCACATAGCCTGTCCCAAGTTAACTAGCTTATTTACTGGCATCCACACTTTTCTGCATGGAGCTCAGGTCTTCCATAGATAGTCCTGCCCAGGGCCTCTGCACTTGCACTTGATCTTAGCCAAAAGATCAAGAAGTAACGCACTTGCTATTTTCTGGACACTTTGTCCAGATAGCTGTAGGTCTTGAACCTCATTTCCTTCACATCTTTGCTTCAATGTCACCATCTTATTTTAGTGACCCATTTTAAATAGAAGTCCTGAACCCCACCTATTTTTCCCTTCCCTTTACCTGGCTTTATTTTTCTTTATAGCTCTTTCCAACAGTTGACATTATATGATATTCCTTTGTCTATTTTTGATGGTTTCTTCTCTAAAATGCAAGCTCCTTGAGGACAAGGTCTTTCTTTTCATTTCTGTGGCCCCAGAACTTAACACAGTGCCTAGAACAGAGCAGGTGTTTGTGCGTGTGTTGAATGAATAAATGCATGGGCATAAGGCCATGGGTTACGTGCTGGGGGAAAGTAAAGGGAAGACAAGATCCCTCTGTCACAAGCAAGCATTGGTCAGCCAGGTCATGAGTGATGGCTGCACAGTGGAGGGTCATGAGAGTGCTGTGGCAGGGTTAAGTGTCTGTGGCCGTGGTTCTTAGGGGTGCATAGCCTGCCAGGAAATTAGGGTAGCAAAGCAGGTGGACCACTGACTCCCTGTGGTGAGGAAGAGAAACCCACCCAGGCATTGGGACCCTGGCACATATAGGCATGTGCAGGTCTTGGAAAATATTTGGGCAACCAGAGGACAGTGTGGTGGGAGCAAATCCTCCACTTGATGGGGTGGGGAGAAGCAGTTTCTACCCACAGAGGGTCTGAGGGTCTGGGGTAAAGGGAAGGAGTCCAACCTTTATCTTGAAACTTCTTGTCCACCTTGGGTGAATACTAAGCAGGGGATGATGGAATACTCTGCCTGGGTAAGGCCAGGCTGGAAGCCCCCATGGGCACTCAGACCTGCTGTAAAGCCTTGTAGAGCTAGGCCAGCAGAGGCAACATCCACCTGTACATTCTGGGTTATTTTGAGGCCAGAGGAGAACAGGTAGTTTCCATAATCCGGGCAGAGAGGCCAGAGGGGTGCAATAGTTATTCAACAAAAAACATTTGAAAGCAAAGTGTTGGAAAAGAAATGTGATGAGGAACAGGAAGAAGGCAGGTGGGCAAGGAAGGGCAAGAATAAAGTGACTTTGGGAGAGGAAAGAGGCACAGTTCAAGTTTCCCAAACCAACACTAGATGGAGTCAGGAAGAAGTTAGACTCCAAAGAAGTCACAAGCAAGCACTGATCTGTAGTATAGCTTGCTGTGAGCTTTCGGTCACCCAGGACTTAGTTACAAATGGAAATTCTATTCTCTTGTTTTACAGGCTAACCCTCAATTTCCTGTAGGAGTGACTTGTAAGAGGGGCTGATTGGACTAAAAGGAGGGAGGACAGGGTTGCCCCACCGTGACTGGTGGCTCTTTTGCATGCTAGGCAGGGATTGCTAGCCTTTGGCCAGGGACCTTGTGCCAGGACAGCAGTGAGACCTGGAAACTGCATCCTTCTGGGATGCTGCAGAAAGGTCTCAGAGGTGACACTCTGGCAAGACTTAAAGTGAAACTATGGGGTATTTGCCCAACTAGGGCTGAGAAAACTGGATTTTAACAGAAGGATAGTTAATTTTTTTCTTCACTTACCAAGACCTTCTGCTTGACGGTGTCCAATCTAACTGCTAGCCAATTTAGTCCACATGATGAAAAGAAATTCCAAACCATCTTTTGGTGTCATCAGGCTGCCCTTGTGACTGAGTGTTTGCTGCTTAGAGTGGATGAAGCCTGACATGCAGGGCAGGGCTGCTGGGCAGGACAGGGTCTCCAAGCACTGACTGAATGAGTCATGATCCACATTTCCCAACCTGCTTCTCTCACCTCATATGCTGTACCCCGAGAACCCAGAATGGCCACCCAAGGCCTGGGGAAGTCTCTGCTCTTCTCTCCTGGCCTCTTTCCTCTTGAAAAATCTTCAAAATTGAAAGAATAGTGCAAACAGAATACATGCCTCCTACTTGTACTCAGAGCCAATAACATTTTGCTTCTTCTTGCTTTTTCTCTGTATATATACTCCCCACCCCCACTTCCCCTTTTTTTTTGCTAACCTACTTGAAAGTCATTGTAGACATCATGGTATTTCACTCCTACATAGAGATGAATGTCAGTTTAATAATATCTTGTATTACACAGTCTACATTCAAATTTTCCCTGTTGATTCAAAAGTAATCTTTCATTGCTCTATTTGTCCAATCCAGAAAAAAATCTTTGTATTTGATTTTGTCTTCTTTTCTTTGGTGTTAGACAATCTCTGCCTTTTTTCTTCCAAAGCAGTGTCAGTTTGAAAGTTCCTAAATTAGTTGTTCTATCTCATTTGCTGTTTCCTGGATTTGTCTGCTTCTTCCTGAGGAGATTCAGACTGAATTTTATTTTTTTGCCAAGAAAACTGCAGATGTGACTTGTGTATCTCTTGCTGCATAGCACAGAAGGCACATGACTCCTGTGACTCTGGTCAGCCTCACTTGCTGGAGGTGCATCTCTTTATGGCTTGGCCAGATCCTTGTTTTGTAGAGATTGGTAAATAACCCAAGGGCTTGCACTTTGAGGCCACAGAAATATCCCGGCCACCAGCAGTTCCTCGCCACTGACTTCCAATCTACACTTCCAATCCTGAATCAGTTATTGCTGTTGGTGGTTCCAAAATACTGAGTTTCCAATTCTAGCATTTTTTTCTGTAGGATTTAATAACTGACATTTTTATGAGGGGAAGAAGATTTTTCCCTTTTCCCACTTGCTGACATTGTGCATTTTAATTTATCACTATCGTGGTTCTTTGTTTTCTTCCATCCCCGCAGTACTAGGGTTTGAACCCAGGGTCTTGAACTTGCTAGGTGGGCACTCTATCACTTCAGCCACGCCCCCATTCCCATGATAATTCTTTCTGATGCTCAAATTGTTCCAAATTTGGCTAGTGCAAGTCATTTCTTGGTGGCAATTGGGCCCATGTGACAGGACTCATTAGTCTTGGAACATTTCCTTAATTTTTGACACAACACAATATCTCAGGCTCACTCTGTACTGCTCCTACCTGGAATCACCCTTTTCAAAAGATGCCAGTGTTTCTTTTTCTTTTTACTGGACAGTGACATTTAGAAACCAAGACATGGACTCAATGTGTGCTCAGAGTCACGGAGGTGTCATTTCTTCTATTCTCTTTCAATGGACAGAATCAAGAAGTATGTATTTATGCACAAAATCAATCCCATAAGGTTTCCCTCAGGCTTTCCACATTCCATGTTTCTGTCTCCTCCAAAGTGCAAATATTTTCACTCATTTTGCTCTATCCTAATCATACACACAAAATACTTCCCAAATTACAGCACTGTATAGCTGCACACCTGCTCAGTAAACATGAAGATTCCTTTGCAGTACTTTTGTCTTTATACTTTCACCCTCCATGTGTGTACAGCTTCAGTATTGTGCTCAAATTAAATAATTATTTTCTCTGTGTGCTTAATGCTATCAGTCTGATGTCAAATTAGAAACACGGGTTTCAGGATGTGTGCTATTTCAATGATTCCTTTATGTCTTTTTAATTTAATTTTAGTTTTGAATATGTAAGATGTATACACGGTTCAAAGATAAGACTGTACAAACAGATGAGTTCAGAGAAGTCTCACTCCCATAACTGCTGAACCCACCCTGTTTCAACCTGCTGTTTTGAGGTTATTGACCCAAGAGTTCCTGGCTTATCCTCCCTGGGTTCCTTTACAAAAGCGTATTTAATTTTGGACATTTACAGATTTATATTTGTCCTGTAAAATTTAATTTTTACATGTATGTATATACTTGTGCATGCACGTGTATTTTCCTAGTATTTGTTTGGTTTCATTTTTTTACTTAGATCTCTGGCCCACTTGACGTTTATCCTGGGCTGTGAGATGATCTATAGGTACAAATTGATTTTTTTCCCCAAACGCCAACCTCATTATTTCAGTACCATCTGGAAAAAGTGCTTTGTTTGCCGCCTTATCATGCTCTTCATTTCTGTATGCCCTGGCCTATCTCTGGACTTTCTGCTTCTCTCCAGCGGCACAGACTTGCTTGCTAAGGATTCAGGGTATGCTCGACCATCCCCCACCCATGCTGTGCTTCCTCTTCACATAACTTGTTAATTTTTTTTCCATATGAACTTTAGGATCAACTTCACAATCTTTCTATAGAAGTAAATGTCTTGCTATTTTTTATTGGGGTTGTATTAGTTTTATACATCAATAATTTTGGAGGGGCAGTACTGAGGTTTCAACTCAAGGTCTCACACTTGTTAAGCAAGGACTCTACCACTTGAGCCTCATCCCCAGCAATATTTACACATTAAATTGACTTCTTTATGAATTAACTAGTCTTCCATGAAAAAGGCATTTTATTTAGATTAACATGTATTAGTTGCATGATTAATGGGGTTCAGCACTAACCAAATCCAGCCTCCCTTTATCCACCCTCCCCCTTCCCTGCTTCCCACCCCTGGATGTCAATATTCTATATTCAGGTAGACTTTATTTTTTTTAACACTGCCTTATGAAAGAAAACATGTCTTTCTGTGTCTGGCTTATTACACTTCATGTAATGCCCTCCAGTTCCATACATTCTGTTGCAAGATAGGATTTCTTTCTTCTTTATGGTTGAATAATATCTCATTGAATAGGTTCACCACATTTTTTTGTT